AAGGCTTGTTTGTAAACTTTTCTTACAAGGGTGCCTCACTAACAAAGCAGGCTGGGGGGTGGGGGGGGGGGGAGAATTGAACCGGCGCTGACTCACTGTTACCTCTTACGTTGGTCTAGAACCTCCCCTGTTGGGACCCCACTAGAAAGACCAATAGTTGGGTCTTCATCTTCAGGAATTAGGATAAGCTGCATTAGAAACTGAGTTCTGATGAAATATTTCTTCCATAACTGTAACAATAAATTGACAAACTAGTAAAATGACAGTTGCCAACAGGCTGATATTATTTTTTATTATCTTTATGTTTAACTTATTCACTAGTGATGTGTTAGTTCCACTGAAGTGATCCTTGGGATCGCTGGTTGCCTTAACAACCACTTTTTGGTCAGAATATTTTTAAGTTTTGCTTCTTTGTGATTAGGAGACTCTGGGGATGGTTGTAACACTTTTTGTTTGACCAAATGTAACTCAGTATTTGTAGAGATCTCAAATTTTACCACGTGGTACCCATATTTGTCAGCTACAAATGACATGCATCTGGGCTTTTATCACATCATCACAGGTTAGTTAAAATAATGTTGAATACAGAGAGGTATGTTGTTACAACCTACCCCAGTACCATGGTGACACTGCTTGGGGATGGATGTACCAGTTTAAATATCATGCTTAAAATTGATCCACAAATGTAGAGAAACACTGATTTATGGGCTTCCTAGGCCCAAAATGAACAATAATGACATTAGATCCACACTTCTCTTGGCTGTAAGTGATCAAAGTGCTCCAACCACACAATGCAGACACTTTCATTGTCGTCTGATAAGTCGGCATCTTCTGTGTCCTCAACCCTAAAAGCCTTTTGATTGTCATTTTCTTTTTTTAGCTTTTGTAAAGTTGAGACCAGTGGGAAATGTTAACATTGGGGGACGTTTGAGACACAATTTTTAGATCTGTTACAACCCACTCCATGCCAGGCTGCCATTAAAAAGCTAACTATTTTTTAGCATTTAGCTTCACTAGTGCAACACATCAAATTAAACTATAGAGAAACTACTGCTTGAGTTCATGCAAGTCAAACAGTTGGAATTATTACCCAATTGGCACTTTATATGAAAAAATATTTGTAATGAAATTCTTACTTTTTAACCTGAAAATTTTATATATATATATATATATATTTTTTTTTTTTTTGCTCCATGAGTGAATGTTTTCAACTCAGAGACATGTGGCTTTGCTAGTGTGGTTAATGTGCAAATGGGCATAAATTGTATTCATGACATCACCATAGCTTGCTTTTGATTGGTCAAACTGAGAGTGTTACAACTGTTACCCCTATTTCTACCAAGAAAAACAATGTTAATTATTATTATTATTAAGAACTAAAACATAATGTGACATTGAAATCATAAAAAGTCATTAATAAAACGATGTTTAATCCTTCTCCATATCTCTTTAGAGGTAAACAGAAATCTAAAGGTAAGTGTGTGTGATTTTGCTGCCTTCATACATTCACTGAACACAGAAGAGGCTGCTCTTTATTATTTTCTCCTTTAAACAGATCATGTGATTCATCTCCTTTTTTCTGTTTTTTTTCTTTTATGGAGAGACGGGAGCTCCAGATGCTCATGTCCTCCCTGAACCTTAGATGGTCACTCCCAAATTCCTTCCTCTGCTAAGACCAGCTGTAACAACTTCCTGCCTCTCATCACATCCACCTAAACTCTGCTCTGCTGGCAAAAATGAGAAGTCGAAAAGCATGAGCATCACCTTCTAAAACGAGATCTAAATGCCACAAGACAAACTCAACAAAAACACCTGCTGACAAGACAAGATCTGAATGTATTCACTCTCTTATAAACAGAAGTTACCGAAAATGGAATAAAAAAGCTAGAAATAAATGCTTAGGGTAGAGAATCCTTTATATGCCAAAGAAAAAAGACTCAAAATGTCACACTCTAATCAGCTAATCAATCCAAAACACCTGAGAAGGGTTCCTGAGCCTTTAGATGGTTTCTCAGTCTATGTTGCATTACTGAAATAAATGGACTTTTGCACCATAATTCTGATTTGAGTTTCATCTGTATTTCTAAGTATTTATTTTGTATGTTTTTTTTTTGTTTACCTTTTAATCGTTTTCACTCTTTACTCTGTATTTTACTCTCCTCTTAGCTCCTGTTGTGAATGTGATAGCTGCTGTGACACCTACATTTCTCCATAAGGGACAATAGACATTCTATTCTATTCTATTCTATTCTATTCTATTAGTGTCAAAATGGCTTAATGCCATCAACTCTGGTATCAAAACTGATGACTAAATAATAGTAGATATGCATTTTTTTTTTACTAAATTTAAACAAAAATGGTTCTTAAAGAAAACACTAACTCGACCAGAGAATGCTGCTGTTTTGTGAAGTGCCTTGGGGGGTTGTAGAACCCTAAGAAGGCATTATACAAATACAGGCCATTTACTAAATTAATAATGTGGGTTTGCATCTGACCAATCAAAAGTGCTGCAGATTATTTGCTTTTAAAGTCAATAAATGCAAAATAAATGGATTTTAATTAGGTTTGACAAAATGCAACGATGACAGCTAATGGTTTAAATGTTGTTATAAAGTCCAATTTAAAAATGCACAAATGCTATTGACTGTGATTCCTTCTTTGAATTTGTTTACATTTTAATCAGTTTTTTTGTGCCTGAGGGAACAATAATTTTACGTATTGATGGTTTTAAATACAGATCCACATAGAAAGAGATAATGTCTGCAAACAGCACGCTGATCTGAAACCCCTGTAGAAACGACTGGGGGCTTATGAGAGGGTTAATGTTGTATTTGCAGCACGTTTAACCCTCTCATGAGGGTTTTTGTAACTATCACGGTTACAGTGTTGAAGTCACAGTTAATCATATGGTTTGACTCTTTCCATCTCCTTATCTTGAGCTCTTCTTTTAAGGTTAATTACTTCCAAACATGTTAAAAATTATAATTTTACCCCCAAATTCTCAGATTATACAAGAAAATTAATCAATATTTTGTTTATTTATCCATTTAATACCCTTTTTATTTGTATTAGTAGTCAAATATGTAAATGAGCAGCTAGCTCCTAGGATTCAGATTTTTCCCATCCTATATGGTGATCAGCGTGAAGTTAAATTGATTCCATTCACTATTACATAAGTGGATAAGAGAACATGGCACCAGATATTGATTGCTTACATAACTAATCCAAACCAGCATTGTCTCTGATCCATTTTCTTTTCTTTCCTCTCTTCAGCTCACATTCATTTTCACGCTCTCGCCGGCATCTTTAGCTCAGCACACAGCAGCTCCAGAGGGCCCTGTGGCGCTGCCAAGACGCCATCTTTGGTCCCACTCAAGTAAAGCGTAGGAGACACGTCTTCCTGCCAGTGAGGGAAGGTGGGTGAGCAGCAACATGAAAAGAGATGACTAAGGAAGGGGTGTTGCGGAGGCACACATCTGAGCCAAATAGCCCCAATAAAAAATGGAGACGAGGAATAAAGAACATTGCATGAACATAATAACGTCTTATTAGTTGCAGGACATAAGAGTCAGTGGGACAACAAAACAATGTTTAAAGCAACTGCAAACGTAGGAAAGCCAAGAGATTTCAAAAGATGCATATCTGAGACAAAGAGACATGTCTCCAAAGACATGAATGCCAGTGACAAAGGGGACACAGAGATGCAAAACAACAGCAAAGAGACAAAAAGACTAAATACCAGACACAGAAAAAAGAAGACGAGCTGCATGAAGACATGCAAATAAACCCTGGGTGTGCCGTCTTTACAAGTCTGTTCAGGGACCTGCTTTGTCACAATCTAACTGACTCTGACATTGCTTGTAGGCACATACTTCACTGAATAAATTTTAGGTTGTAATTTGCGCAAATTGTTTTTTTTTAAGTTAAACATAAATCTGCGTGGTCAAATGACAGAAGTGGTGCTTTTGTGGCAGATTTTTACCCAATCTTGATGCTTTTATTTGCAAATCAAGCAAGTTTAAACTTTTTCACTTAATTTGCTGCAAGCCAAAGCACCCTCCAGTGGACCCTGACTAAAAAGGCATTATTTTGTAATAAAATATGAATGAACTTTTTGTGCAGGAAGAATGCACCTGAGTGTTGTCTAGAAATGATGTTTTGTTGCCAGTCTTGACCTAAAAGTCAGGGTGAACAAATCAGAAAAGTTTGCTTAAGGAACAGACCACACACAGACACGACCACTCCCCCGCCCCCCTTCCATTCCTCCTCTTTCCCACTACTCCAGTCCAACACACAACGTAATGTTCCGTTGAAATATTCTTTAAAAGTAACTGTTGTGTTGTGTGATGTGATTGCATGAATAATTTGGTCATGTTAGCATGGAATGACGTCATAAGATTTCACTTTTTGATATTTTACTGTCACTTTAGTGAAAATAAGAGCAAAAAATATTAATATTATAGAAGAACTTGTGTGAAAGAATAATAATAAATATAATTTTAATAGTGTACATTTTATTATAAAACCATTTAACATTAGGAAAAGCAAAAATAAATTCATGTTTCTGCAGAGCTTAGATAAAGTCCCAATAAACTCTGAAAATGCATTACATAAATTTACTGACACAGGATTCTGGTTAGATTTGTGTTCATTATTATTCAGTAAGATACATCATTAGTTACGCAACAATAAAATCATTATGATCACATGTTAAAAGCAAAAAAATAAACAACTAAATAAACAAATAAACAATTTTGAACAAAGTATTTATTAAAATTTGACATTTTTTCTAGATTGAATTAGTTTTTATTTGATGTGTAAAAAGCTTTGTTCAAATATAAATACACTACATTTACAAGTTAAGGGAAATTTGCGATTTTCTGTAAAATACTTACTTTTCTCGTAAAAAAAAGAAGTTTTAGTTTCGTTCCATGAACGCACCACGTTCGGATGTGTGGCTGTAGTTCTAGAAGCGGCCGCTGGGTGGTGCTGTTGCACCTCTGCGTCCTTGCGCTGTAGCGAAGGTAGAGGTGCTGCACCTCCTTCATTGAAGGGGAGAGGAGCTGCTGTGTAATCCGTCTCTCCGCGGCTCAGTCGTCCGCCATGGCGACCGGAGGAAGCCTCCTGTCCGCAGCGAGCTGTGTTTAAAACCCAACCGGGGTTTATTCTTCTTCTACGGTTGAACGTGGATGTAGGAGCTCTATTCAGCTGTGGGAAACACTTGGAAGAAGCTCGCATTAGGAAAGAAGAAGAGGGGGTAAGCAGCAGTCCTCCTTCAGTCAGTGTGCTCTAAGATGGGAAGTGATTCAACTTGTTTGAGGAGATTAAGGTTAAGTCTTGGGAGTGTTTCCCCGTGTTGTTGTGGATTTCTGATGAAAGAATGACTGTCATCGGTCCTGTAGAGAGAGAGCGAGTGAGTGAGAGGGTTGGTTGCATCTTACTAATTTTCTCAGCAGACGCTGCAGTCAGGTTTCGTTGCTGTAAATATGATTTATGCCTCCCAGCTGCATTTAAATGACCTCCAGGAAGCGTGAGGTTTTATATAAACAGCTTCCATAGCGTCCAGGTGAGTCCGAGCAGAACCCTACCTGCTGATGATGATTACAGCTGCCTGCTCCATTAACCCACATTACCTCAAAAACATGTCAGGAAGCACCGCTCCAAGTGTCGGATTTTCTTTTTCATTCCTCAGCATATTTTTTTTACACCTAATTTTGCAGAAACTCCATCATGCATGCAAGTTGGCATTCCTTTTCACTTCCTAGACACACGTGACCCTATCAGGAACACAGGAGAACTTCAGCACAACCTGCCACACCCTGCGACCTGTGGCTGAATTACAGAGCAGATTGAGTTTTTGTTGTTTTCATGGAGCTTCTCTCAGGTAGCCAAGCCTGTGGCCCTTCAGCTGTCACTAAAGGCTTCCAGCTGTGCAGCAGAAGGCCCCAGCTGAGGGGCCCCTGCACACAGAGGAGCCACTGTTAATAAAACCCAGCTCCACGTTGAGCACATGTGGGGAATTTCTAGCAGAATAGTTCAAAGGCAGGGGTGAAACACTCAGGAGTCTGTAAACGTCCCTCTGGTATTGTACACTGGGCCACTCTGGGAACAGGATCTGCACAACTGGTGTGTGTGCGTGTGCGTGTGTGTGTGTGTGTGTGTGTTTGGCCCTGAGTTACCCATTCACAGTGACACACGCACTCATGACTGCTTGATTCATGATACTATGTGTGTGTAAGGGGGAGGGAGGGGTGGAGGGCATGTGTTGGCTGAAATAATCACTGTCTACTCTTACACTGTTTCACTAGCGCTTTGTTTAAAGAGTGTCCGGTTTCGAGCCACGCATGTGCAGGTCATGCAGGACGGGAATTTACGGACTCGATCTGGCACAGTTGGCAGTAATCAAGTCGATGTGGGACACTGTGTGGATAAGGGGTCCAACTTTTCAGCTTTTCAATCAAGGCTCCAACAACAAGGTCATAAAATACCAGGTTTTAATTAAAAATGTTAATTAAAAATACCCTTTTTCTCATTCATGACCCCACTGACAGTAGTGGGTCTTGGTTTAATCAACCCAATGGTGAGTTTGTCTGTTTGCAGCTGGAAAACACAGATATTTGCTCTCACTGCTCTGTGATGACAGTAAACAGGCGGGTGCAAATGATACAATGTGCTCTGAAAACCAGCTGGTGCTATTTTTGGTTGGATTTCATCTCATTTGAGTGTGAATGTTTTGAATTTTGCATATAAAAAAGACATTTCCTGATAACTGTCAACTAAGAATCAAATATTTTAAATCGAAACCGTAACCGGATAAGGGCGGCTTGCCAACTCCGGGTTGGGAGAGAGGTCCTGCCTTAAGTGGAGGAGTTCAAGTATCACAGAGTCTTGTTCACGAGTGATGGATTGGGGGAGCGTCTGTCGTGATGCAGATGCTGAACCGGTTTGTTGTGGTGAAGAAGGAGCTAAGCCGGAAAGCAAGGCTCCTGATTTACCAGTCGGTCTACCGCCCAGTCCTCACCTGTGGTTATGAGCTTTGAGTAATGACCGAAAGAACAAGATTGCGGATACAAGCGGCCGAAATTAGTTTTCCCCGCGGGGTGGCTGGGCTCAGCCTTAGGGATAGGGTGAGGAGCTCAGACATTCGGGAGAGTCTCTGAGTAGAGCCGCTGCTCCTCCATATCAAGAGTTGAGGTGGTTGGGGCATCTTGTTAGGATGCCTCCTGGACACCTTCTCAGGGAGGTGTTTCAGGCACGTGCTGGTGGCAGGAGGGCCCCAGGTCGACCCAGGACACGTTGGAGAAAGTACATCTCGAAACTCGCCTCAGGGTCCTACCAGAGGAGCTAATGTAGGTGGCGGGGGAGAGGACGCTCTGGAACTTCCTAGTTGGGATGCTGCCCCCGCGACCCAGACCCAGATAGACGGAAGAAGACGAGAGACAGGACAAGACCATTACTTAAAGGAGACACATTATGATGTTAAAATTGTTCAGTGGTTCATAAAAACATTTTTACAAAGTCCTTTGAACAAAATCCCTCTCACATGGAGTGATTTCAGCAGGTTTATTCTTGACATTTTCAGTACCTTCCAGAATGTTTCAGGGCCCTGTCACTTTAAGAAAAAAACCTGGAGCTGGCCATCCCCAAGTATCCCGATTGGCTGCTATAAGCTGAGATGCTCTGATATCCGAGAGGGGCCCAAAGTGGAGCCACTGCTCCTCCAGCATCAACATATTATGCTAATTTCCCTGTTGGTGTCACCATTAACAGGGACTTTTTTTAAACGGCTTATTTTAGGCACTTAATTCCTGAAACCAAATATTAATAAAACGAATGGGCAGTTTTTGTTTTACGTTTGAGTTGATTCTAGAGGTAGTAGACCCGCATGTCAGCACAAATGGATGCATAAGGTGAGTTTTGCATAATATACCCCCTTTAAAATGAAATACATAATTTTTTAGTCAGTTTATAAGAAAAAAAGCTGGACTAGAACAATGGAAAATTATATTTCAGTTACTGACAATAAGGAACAGAAGGGTTGGGTAACTTCTTGATGTTTCTGTTTTTTCCATATTGCTCAGCCCTAATTATAAAATATCTATAGTATCTTTTTTATTCACCGCTCTCGGCTCGTGTGCTGTGTTTGACTGGAAACTTTATATGTCTGTTTTAAACATCAGTCCAGCCAAAATGACAGTTTAGTGTATCCGCTGCCCTTGGCCAATTTTCTACAAATACTCTACATAATTACATTATCCACTGGTTCGAAACGCCTGCTTCAGCGTTCGGCTCAAACTTGGCAGCAGTCAGTCACCTCTGCAGCGGCTGAACGACTGCTTTAAAGTCTCCGGATGACATGGATGTGCTGGAATGTGTGATGGACTGCTAATCGTGGGCCTTGAAGGGATCTTGTTGTGCATATACAGATGGAGTGTGTGTGTGTGGCCAGCTTGGATGTCACCCTATAAGAACCCATCTAGTGAAAACACGCACGTTAGGAAAATCCAGATTTTCTCAGTGTCCTTTTCAAATGATGGAAACATTTAAATTTAAGTTGAAAAGCAAAGTTATAAGACAACAAATTCACCAACTGACATTTTTTGGCTACAGAAATGTTTAACTAAGGCCCTGTCCACACGTAGCCGGGGATCTGCCAAAACGTAGATATTTTTCTACGTTTTGGCCTGTCATCCACACGAAAACGGAGTTTTTTCACACGAAAACGGATCTTTTTAAAAACTCCGGCCAAAGTGAAGATCTGCGTTTTCTCCGTTTTGGGTGTCTGCGTGTGGACAGACAAAACCGGAGTTTTAAGGTCCGCAACGTCACTTTACACGACAAAAAAATGCTGACATCACGTGCGCGACCTGTTTTTACACTAGCCGACAGCATGGATGCCCTCAGAGCTGCGCTCGCTTTATCAATTGTCCAAGCGCTTTTTGCTTGTTTGTTTTTGCAAGCGGAATTACTGCTCCTTGCGGAAGACCACAGACGAAGGACGAGGTTAAGAACGGGGGAAGTACTGCCGCCTACAGGTCTGGCATGTCCTTAACAATGTATTTATCCGGGTACTTGTGGACGGAGTTTGTTTTTAAAACGCGGTGGTGTGGATGCAAGTTTTTGGAGGGGCGGATATTCGTTTTCAAAAAACCCGGCTACGTGTGGACTAGACCTAAGCCTTGCCTTGAAGGAAGTTGAGTGTTTGTTTTTTTTGCTTCTACTTTAGAGGACTTCCCCACATGAAACATGACTGGTCCGCAACAGGGAACAACACAATAGTTAGCTGAGTATAAAGATAAGACTCTGAAACTCATCATTTCCCCAAAATACATCAGGTGTTTTTATGGTCATAAAAACTGGCTCCCAGTGTCACCTCCGCACCTAGTCTACTTATAAGAGAAGAAAAATACGTGAATGGGTTCATCCCATATTACAAACAGGAAAATAAATGGTGAATGTGAGACCACACCAACAATCAACTCACGACAGTTTCCCATGCCGCTGCCTTTTTGTGACGATCTCTATATTCTTTTGTAGAAACGTTGTAAAGCTCTGGGAAATCCGACTTGAAATGTATTCACTTTTCCTCAGTTTTTCCTTCATGTTTGCCCAAAAATGTATTGAGAAGCGTGCTGTCTGCTCATTGGTCAATCAACCTCCACTGATTGGTGTTTGTCCAAGCGACACCGAAGAAAAGTCGAAATTTTCTCAACTTTCTGGTATTGCGCCGCTGGCTCGCCTGTGCACCACACATGCACGAGCACAAAATTTCACATGTAATTTTTTCGTGTGTCGCTCAGCAGGAGGGAGGACCATGATCACCACTTTGTCGTGCACGTCTCATTGAAAATGAAAGGAGGAGAGGAGATGTCGCCTCTTGTGTGTCGAGCCCATTATCTGTGTGTTTTTCGTGCTCGGCCGGCAGTCCTTTTGGAACTGCTCTCCAGCTGTCCGCTTCATGTTCAGTCGACCTAACACACCCACTATGGACTGACTGGCCAGCTAAAGTTCACGCCTACTTACTAGTGGAGACTTCTAATTGGCGGGTGGGATCAGCCAGCGGCAGCTTCCCACTTGCGCGATTGATTATCAGTTTGGATGCAGTGGGGTGAACATCTTCTCTGACTGCAGGTCAGACCTGCTGCTCCAGCCGAGGGAGGGCAGACTGCTGTGCAACACCACTGCTCAGTGAGAGAATGGGAAGCTGTGTGCTTCATATCAGAGTATCCAAAGCCACACTGCTCATGGCTGCTTTTG